GCTCAGAAGTGACGCACGCGGAGAGATCGAAATAAAACAACGGTCACTAATTAGAAGTACAAAACGAGGATTTTTATAGAAGAATGTCGGAGGATTTCGATATAAGCCAAGAGGAGATTGGTTTTCCTTTGCTAAAGTAAGGAAACTTTGCTTCCTTTGATCCTGTAAACAAACATTGGTTTTCACGAGACTCACCGGCGCATGCGCAACGCTGACCTCATATGTCATCCGCCCGGAGATGCTTCTGTGTACAACTGTTGGCGCAAGCTAGATTAAAGTGATTATTACGTTTTGAATATGGATATTTTTCTTACAAAAACGCATCGATTCACTACAGGAGGCCTTTGTTCACCCCCTGGAGCCATGTGAGACACTTTTTTTTATGGATGTGCGCTTTTTATTTAACTTCTTTTGGACTGAAGCACTGCAACACCCGCTGACTGCAATGATAGAGCTTGGAATAGCCAGGACAATTTTTTATATAACTCCGACTGGATTCGTCTGAAAGAAAAAAGTCATATACACCTAGGATGCCTCGGGGGTGAGTAAAACACAGCCTAATTTTCATTTTTGGATGAACTAGCCCTTTAAAAGCACAATACAGTATGTAAGACTTTCGTAATAAAATATCCCACTTTCACAGTGTGATATATTTCATGCAGTTGTGTACTTATGTTATCCCAAAAGTTTCCAAGGATTTGTAAATCCAGAGAAATTCAAATTTTAAATAATGACTCATCCCTGTTCATTGTCGCCTATCAGTGACGTGATATCCTTGCTATCGGTTTCCGCTTGTAGAAACTATGACAACACACGTGGACAAAAATGCTGCTGTACAGTTAAACTAAATCCATCACGGCTGTCACGAATAAAATGAAAATTAAATTAAAAGTTTTGACTGCAGCATTAAATTTAGATCTGCTCAATGTTGCACTATGATTCTTTTTATAACCAATCACACTTGAGTCTGTTGAGTTTAAGAATGCAGTGCCCAATCAGAGGCGTTCAGATGAGTCATCGCTGAAACGCCAGAGTTTTTTGTTCAGAGCGCTGCTGCTGACTGAAATTTGCTCTCTCGCAACATTACATCATAAACAACAAAGTGCAGATGCACATATGATGTATGTAGGAGATTCATTCATCATACAGTGTATAGACCGCTTTACTGATTATGAGTTTTTTGAGAGTGCTTAAACTCGCGCTAGACTTTGTGTTTAGACTTTAGTCAGTCATAAGGGCCTTTCGCACCGCTTTAGTTCCAGAACTAAATGTACAGTACTAAAGTACTGGGAAGATTTTGCGCGAACTATTTCCCAGTACCATTTAAAGGGTTGCATTCGCACCGAGAGTGTGTACTAAGAAGTGACGTAAGCCGGTCGACAGCGACGTCATTTGTGCGCGGCGTTCAACAACAGAAACAAAGAAGAACAACATTAACAACAGGAGGACGCTGTGATCGGAGCTGTGTGTTTGTTGTGTCTCGCGGGTTTCACAATAATGGACATGGAAAGTCGACGTATACGTAAAGCGATTGAAAGAACGGAAAGGAGGACTAAGAATCTCCAACGACAACTGGCAGTGCTACATTTGCTACAAGTGCCTGCACTTCAGCGTCCGTCCATCTATCGCTGTTCTCCATACTTGCGAAATAAGTTGACACAATGTTTACAGTATGTTTACACAGCGTTTTAAATAATGGCGGGTGAGGGCGTTTTCATACGCGTTTGGCCAATCAATGTCTACTTACGTCACGATTAGTACCAGTTGTGCTGGTTAGACCCTGCTCCGGAGTAGGAGCTAATTTGGTTCTCGAAAAAGGCAGTCCGGTACTAAAATCGCTCCCAGTTCCGGCGGTGCGAACACGCCAAAAAGTGGGTAGTTCCACAATTAGTTCTGGTACTATGAAAAGGTTCCTGCGGTGCGAAAGGCCCTATACTGTTCCTTGACAATTTAAATGTACTTTGCTTGCTTTCTCTGTATAATTTGTTCGCTGTTTGAATAACTTTGGAAGATACAGGTAATAAAAATTAATTCATCCGTGAACATGATTCGGACATCTCTGGATGGTGAAAACGACATCTCACATCATCATCATCAAGCTTCACCTCTGTTATTGTTTTGAAAATGTGACCTCTAGTGATGAAAACTTACATACAGTATTGTGCCTTTAAGTGAATGTAAGCAGTTGTTTAGAAAGAAAACCATTGTGTATCAGTTTATTGGATCCATGCAGTCGGTCTTAAAGGGACAGCAGCCTAATAAAGCTGTGCCGTCTGTCATTAATGTTAATCAAACAACAAAAGACAAAAAAAGATCACTGCTCTTGACTAAATAATTAAATACAATTTTAAAGATTAATCTGTTTTTAATTCCACAATTAGTTCTGGTACTATGAAAAGGTTCCTGCGGTGCGAAAGGCCCTATACTGTTCCTTGACAATTTAAATGTACTTTGCTTGCTTTCTCTGTATAATTTGTTCGCTGTTTGAATAACTTTGGAAGATACAGGTAATAAAAATTAATTCATCCGTGAACATGATTCGGACATCTCTGGATGGTGAAAACGACATCTCACATCATCATCATCAAGCTTCACCTCTGTTATTGTTTTGAAAATGTGACCTCTAGTGATGAAAACTTACATACAGTATTGTGCCTTTAAGTGAATGTAAGCAGTTGTTTAGAAAGAAAACCATTGTGTATCAGTTTATTGGATCCATGCAGTCGGTCTTAAAGGGACAGCAGCCTAATAAAGCTGTGCCGTCTGTCATTAATGTTAATCAAACAACAAAAGACAAAAAAAGATCACTGCTCTTGACTAAATAATTAAATACAATTTTAAAGATTAATCTGTTTTTAATTTACAGTTTATTCAATTTCTGTATATTTCTGTACCTGAATACTAATGTTAGACCTAAACTGTTTCCTAAATGAAATGCAGGTCCTGAGTTTAGTTGTTAATATTGGTTAAATAACTAATAATATTCAGTGATGTGATATGTTCTCTGCGTGGAGTAACGTCTGGCATAGTCACAACTTGCACTTATTATTAAAACAAATAGAAAGCAAATAAGCATTAATAGTCATTAATTTTAGATAACATATGCTATGATAAATTTGAACAGATATTTATTCTTGTTTTACATGTATACTTGTAAAATAATGGAACATTAGGTCATGAATACTGTCTCAAAAGTCATGAAGTCGTCAAAATTTATTGGTAAAAATGTGTACGAAGCCTGTAATTCTGTGACTGTTTTGTGTGCAAGAAACACTGACTAAAATTGTGACCTTAGGGGGAAAAGGCTACAGAAATGTATGATGTGCTGTGTTGTTTTTATGGGATGTGGGAAAAATCACATTACATCCTGTTGCCCTTTGCTGCAATGTTTTCTTTAGTTAGGAATCATGGCTAATGTATCCACATAAAATCTGTAGCCATTAGAACTGAACCCTGCAAGTGGAATGTTCCAGTGTTTACTATAAGTGAGATTGCAGTGTTCTCTGTATCCTCCCTGAACTCTGCATTCTGTATGTATGTTTGGTACGTGAGATTCAAAGTGCCAGAAGTTACAGAAATGTTATTTCTCTCTGCTCGACCTTGTTAGGCCAAAAAGTGGGCAGAAATTGAACACAAATTGTTTGATGCAGCTGTATGATGCATAAAAAGCTGAAATAGAAGAAAATTAAAGGAAAGCTTTTGAAAGCGTTTTTGGTATTTGGAGGAGCAGTCGGGTCTATCACCTCTTTTAAGGCATGAGGAAATGGCTTTTCTCTGCAGTCTCATTACCGTTTTTGATTGAGTTGCTTAGCATTTCCTGCTCAAGTCCCTTCCACCCACTTTTGATGACTGAAATGTACATTTAGCACTCCAAATGAGAACTAATTTACTCTCAGCAGGGAGTGAGGATTCTGTATTTGCCTTTTTATACAGACTCCCATGGTGTCGTGTTGAAAAGAGGATACACCTTTGACTGAAGTGGCTTTGATTTTAGTTTGATTTTAACTCTTAGTTAGCGTTACACTTTCATGGTTCAAATCTCTTTTTCTTTGTTTCAGACCTCTCGGCAGCCGTGCAGAAGTTCTCCCAGTCTTTACAGGAGTTCCAATTTGAGTGCATTGGTGATGCAGAAACGGATGATGAAGTAAACATTGGTAAGTGTGATGTCAACTGCTGATTTGAGGTCTGCTACTGCTCATACTCCTTCAGTCTTGTAGATGTACATGACAAATCACAATAGGTTTCCTTTAATATTTCAATTATTTCTCCCAGCAATTAGATTAAATGGAGAGCAAATGCAAACGTTTGCTGAAGTCTCCTGCTTAAATGTTCTCCAGACAAAAAGGCCTCATGGAGTTTCAGAAGACATCTCATCAATCACTCAAGCTACGGCTGTGCGATTAATCGAATTTTTTATGGATTTAGATTTTAGCTTCCAGCAATTATGAAAGCATGATAATCAAGATAAAACGATTATTGTGCCACATTATTTTCCTTTCCATTACAGCGGTGCATTTTCGCCCCTGCTTAAAATCCCAAACTTAACATCCAAACATGTAGCGTGACTGTCATAAAAAGTAGAGTTTGGGTACTTGGACTTGGGACTTGGACTCGGACTGCAATTATGAATGAACTAGGACTTGAGATTGACTAAATAATAGATTGACTGAGTAAATCATGGGGTTATTTTCATTTTTGGGTGAAGTATCCCTTTAAAGACTAGGACTCGATTCGGACTTGAAAAGATGGACTCGGGCCTAACACTAGTAAAAAGTATACTGCGGGATGTGCTTGCTATTATAAAGAAAGCGTATTAAGCTGTAAAACAGAACTCACGCTCTTCCCCAGGCAGCTTTTTGTACATGTGCTTCTAGACAGTGCGAAACACGGACAACCAAACTATACATTGGGCTTCAGGTGTGAGCCTAAACTGTCAAATACACACAATATATACAATATAAAATATGTCAAAATGCCCACCTTGGCTAGTATTGTCAAACACTGTTGGTTATGTGAATGTTGAGTGAACCTTAACAGATGCTCAGACCTTTTCTCATCAAATATGAATATTCTAATTAAATATTAATTCCTTCAAGTCTTAATTATATGGGCTATGCTATCCACACACAATTTCTCTAAACTCTTACTGTACATCAACAGTTGTCTCATTTGTGTATATTTTTATTTTATATTCGTAAGGGGTTCTAGCAGAACATCTGAGAGAGTTGAAGTCCATTAACTCACCTAAGCTATAAAAGAGCAACATCTGAGCGAAAAAAATAAAAAATGTTCCTCCAAACCCATTAAAGACGATCTGATTAACCATTCTAAGATCATCTTAATGGAAAGTTCTCCTAATGCTCTGAGGAATAGTTTCCTTCTTCATCCCCAAATGTCCCGCACACTGTCCCAGATGGATGGGATTGTCATTTTAATCAAGAATTATCCTGGAAATTCCATATGAGTTACATACGAGTCATTCAGAGTTGAGTAGCAAAGATGGATTTCTAGGCTCTTGTTTCTTCCACTCCGACTCTTTGCCTTTCAGCCACTGATTACAATCTTTAGCACGTGAGAAGTCACAGAAGGACTTACAATTCATAGTTTTGATTAATAAACGCATTCTCGTATGAAAGCAAGCATCGGGCATTCTGATATCCTGTCCCAGTCCAGATTTAGCTCAACAGCTCAAGGCAGGTCTCAGTGAGATTGCCTGCCCGGCATGCATAATGTATTGTATTGATTTGCTTATATTCCAGACAAAAAGGTCTCAGCTCAGCCCTTTAAGAGATCAGAGTAACTAATTGTGATTTGTGTCAGAGATTAAGGAAAATGCAGACGGCTCACCCTCGGTGGGCACTGAGCAGATGTGCTGAGAGTTCATACGCCCTGATGGGTTGATCACTCATTCTGTTATGTCTCTTTTTGCAGCCATTCATCTCTTTCTATGCTTCTCTCGTTCCTGCATTCTCTCCTTATGTGTCATTAATTTGTTTATTATCTTCCTGTCCTGCTCTGTGCATTGTGTGCTGGCTTGACACTCAGACCATCTGCATCTAACAGTTGGCTTCCAGTCTTACCGTACTCTCTGTCGCACAAGCCTGCTTTCCTCTTCTTTTCCCAAGCAATCTGATGAGAAAAAAATCAAATTAAATGTGTTGAGGTGTGGCAAAGCAAGCACATAATGGAGTTCAATTTGGCCCTTTCCTATCTCTGTCTAGTCGCCAAATAGGAATGTGGTGAATTTTTGCTGTTTTTTTTCCCCCTATTTGTATGATTAAAAGGGATGTTGGGCGAGCCGGCCATAGTGGTAATGTTTTGAAAGGTAGCGACACAAAGGTATCTTTACGGCTGAGACAGAAAGGTTGATAGGTAGGAAATAACAGGGCTACGGCTATTGATTTACACGTGTAATGGGGCGGAATGATTTTGGTTTGCATTCCATGGACAAGTGAATTTTGATGAAACCTGTGGCTGCATGTTAAATACAATCTCTTTGACATGAACCCAGCATTTTGTTCAAAGTCTGTTCAGTGATACTCTGATAAATATTGTGATCTATCCATCCATCCATTACTGTTAGGGATGTTCATTTTAACCGGTTAACCGACGGTAAGAATTTTGACCGATTAATACAATCAGTTAAATGGTTTAAAAAGTCATTTAATTATTTATTTTTTCAGTAATTTACCAAATTATTTAAAACGGTTTGCTGCATGGTTAAAATATGCTACGTGTATAAAAAAAGTGTTTTTTAGGGGGGAAAAAACATAAGTCGCGTATAAGTCGCATTTT